TCACTATGTTGCCCAGACTGGTCAGGAACTTCTGGCCTCAAGCAATCCTCCCGCCTCAGCCTCCCAAAGTGCTGGGATTGCAGGCATGAGCCTCTGTGCCCAGCCAGGAGCTTACATTTAATAAGAGGACACCTAGACATTTAATAAATGCTGTAAAGTGTTATGATAGAAGTGTGTAGAGGGATAAGGAAGATAGCCTTGTAACCTCATAGTCACCTTTTTTACCAAAAGGCCGTTCCGATAACTGTTCTTTCATGTCTAGAAATGTAAAATTGATTACAAAAATAAATATTATATTTACTGTTTGACAGACTATTAACTAGCAGCACTTCTGTAAAGTTTGTTCATGGTTATCGTTTATGCTGTATTCCTGAAAATGTATTTCCAGCATCATTACTCTTCAGATTCACAAGAGTAGGAGACAGTTTCTAGAAACAAATCGTGGATTTCAGGAGATCTTCCTTATATATATCCTAAGATTATAGTTGATTTTCATTAGTTAGAAGTAAAGAAAAAACAGGAAATGTAAAAAAATTTAATTCCAGATTCATTTGGCTAACAGTGAATTTTCCCAAACTTTTTTTTTTTTTTGAGTTGGAGTCTCACTCTGTTGCCCAGACTGGAGGGTAGTGGCACACTGGAGGGTAGTGGCACGCTCACAGCTACCGCAGCCTTGACCAGCTGGGCTCAGGTGATCTTTCTGCCTCAGCCTTCCAAATGGCTGGAACTACAGGCATGCGTCACCATGCCTGGCTAATTTCTTGATTTATTGTAGAGATGAGTCCTCCCCAAGTTGCCCAGGCTGGTCTTGAACCTGTGAGTTCAGGCAATCCTCTTACCTCGGCCTTCCCAAAGTGCTGGGATTATAGGCGTGAGCCACGGCACCCAGCCTTTCCAAACATTTAATGAAGTCATAGCACCAATCTTACAGAATGCTTCTAGGAACAGAAAAAAAGAGAATACTCCCTGACTCATTTTCTGAGGCTAACATAATCTCTCTTTTTTTTTTTTTTTTTGTCGGAGTCTCACTCTGTGGACCAGGCTGGAGTTCAGTGGCACAATCATGGCTCATTGCAGCCTTGACTTCCTGGGCTCAAACAATCCTTCTGCCTCAGTCTCCCACGTAGCTGGGACTATAGGCACATGCCACCGTATCTGGCCAATTGTTTTGAGTTTTTGTAGAGACAAAGTCTCACTCCATATTGTCCGGGCTAGTCTGGAACTCCTGGGCTTAAGCAATCCTCCTGCCTCAGCCTCCCAAAGTGCTGGTATTTACTGGCTTGAGCCACCACACCTGGCCTATTTATAACAGGATCTACAAAACAAAAAACTAAGATGTTGAATATTTTTCAGTTGAGATTTGGAATAAATTAAAGATCCCAGCTCTCACCGTGTATGTTTAGCAATGTACTCTAGAGGCCCTTGCCAGTGCAAGAAGAAAGGGAAAATGATGAGTATGTGTTGGAAAGAAAGAAATTGTCCAGTCATTTTCTGCTAAATAAACAGGATTTAATCAGGATTGTATGTATAGAGAACTCAAAAGAACTCTTATAAATTATTAGAATTAATTGAATTATACTAAAAACTTAGCTTAAACCTAAGACAAAAAAGACTAACCTGAAACCATTAACTAGAGTTAACGATTTAAAGGAGAAATTAGCGGTTATGTTTGTGTGTTCTGTTAGGAATGATCATGTGGAGAGGGTAAAGCATAATGGTATAAAAAGGAAACGGAGAATTGCTGCAGTAGAAGGTGAAATGTGGATGAGATGTAGAATTGAAGAATAAGCTGAGTTGTTCACCTGGTGATCAGTTCTAAAATCCTATGCAGTTTCTATATAGCGATGGATGTGGATGCTTTGACTAAGTTCTGTGGTGGCTGCTGTTATTCTCATGTGTTAGAGTCACCAGGGTAGACAATCTTCAATGAATAACTACCAGAATCATCTGAAGGAACTTCATTATTTTTCTCCTTGGTAAGCAATGTTTTTATATGTTTTTATTTTGGAAGTGAGGAGACTTAAATGACTTGGGTTCCTCTGGTTGTTTTTAGTAGCTACTCACAATTTTCACTTTTGTGAAGAAAACCAATTTTAAAGGGCAGCCTCGGAGTCAGAATTCTCAAAAAAGCTCTTGCTACAGCAGCTATTTTTTTCCCCAATTGTTGTGCTGTCTCCTAGCTGTATGTGACTTTTAAAACAGATCCTAGACAATTCATCAGTTGCACTAGCCGAATTTCACATGCTCACTAGCCGCATGTAGCTGTTTAGTTGCTTGTCTTCAGACGTAAAGCATATCCATCATTGCAGAAAGTTTTATTAGACAGCTCTCCAAATAGGATTTTCTACCTTTATTTACAGACACTAAATAATTCTATCTGGACCATGATTGAGCAACTGCTCTGGTATAATTTTAGCCCCTGCCAAATTAGGTTGTCAGAAGTGGCCCACCACCTTTAAAAGCCTGTCTACTCATTGGGTATTTATTAGCATGTCTCTAAGTTTTCTGGTTAAAAAACTAATTAGAGAAGAAATTACAGATTTAAACCTATCCAGCCTGGTGTTGTGGCAGCATTGTCAACATTTAGACAGACTTCCTAGGTTAAGCCCTCAGAGCCTAGTTAGCTAAGATCATAGCAGTTTAAGAAGTTTTCAAGAAGTTTGTCTCAGAAAGGTTTGTCTCACAAAGCTTATAGCTGAGAAACCTGGAGGACTATAATAGATTTTTGTGCTGAGTTCTGTACTTGAAGGCTCTGCCTCTTATAATTAAGCAGCTCCCAAATGGTAATTTCCCTCCTTTCTCTCATCACATAGCCCATATGCAAGCATGGAGGAAAAGGCTGTTTCGAGGTAGTAGTCTGCTTAGCTCAGAATGTGGTGTTAAGATCTGTAATGCAAGTCAAATCCACAGCCATAGAGTGGGAGTTGTGAGGGATCTAGAGGTTAGAAATGGATTACTACCTTGATTACCTAAAAGTGTGATTAGCACTTTAACTCAGTAGCATGAAATGAAAAAAACTTTAAAATTTGGATGTAATCATCTCCAAACTGGCTGCTTTGGGAACGAGTCAGCCAGTTAACTGGGCTACATAATCAAAGTGTGGGGCTGGCTGGGGTGGTTATGTTCGTGGGGGCCTGTTAACTCATTTCAGCTTCTCTTTGTCCTGGAATTATAAAAGCCTGTGATGTTATTTCTGAAACTTTGATTCAGCAGTTGCTAAGCACCTGCTGTTGTGTTTCAGGCACTAGGCCTGGGCCTTGGGGGTTACAGAGTCACAACAGTTCTGGCACTCTGTCTGATATAGAAGACAAATAGTACCACATCGTATTATTCATAAATAGAATGATAAGGTCCAGAGGCTCCTGAAACATCATTTTAGTTTGATTTCCCTATTTTCTACCCCATGCAGCTGAGACTCAGAGGGAAGGAAACTCTCTTCCTCCCACCCTCTCTCCCCTCAGTGCAGTGCCACTATCATAGCTCAAGTCCTGGCCTCAACCCATCCTCCCGCTTCCTCGACCTCCTGAGTAGCAGAGATTATAGGTGGGATTACAGGCGTGAGCCACCCGCACCCAGTCAGAAGTAACGCCAAAGAACTGGAAGCTGCGTTTTCTGCTGAGTGGTCCTTAATAATTTTACTCCTCCACTCTAAAATATGATCACCATCATTGTAGGAATAATGCAATTTCTATTTCCCATCCCCAGCAAGTTCTGAACAACTGTCAGGCTTAATGAAGCTTTAAAATCCGACAACTAGGGTTCGAACCTGCTTGCTTGCTCCATTGTGAAACACGTCTACAGGAATAACGATTCCTACTTCTCGGGCCACATGTGTACATGTTATACTGTGAGAATTAAGTGAGGTTAGCGTTATTGTTTGATGGCTTTGTTTTGGAGGTGGGAGGTTCCGAACAGGAGCAACAATTTGTGGCGAGAGGACGTGTGCGAATTGGGAAACTGGGCACTTCCGCCCGTAGGCGAAGCGGCGGCCCCGCTGGGCGGGGCGGGGCTGCGCGGCT